CACACACACACACACACACACACACACACACACACACACACACACACACACACACACACACACACACACCCGTCGACCGTTGCAACCGCGCACCCTCGCCCAGCGCGCGGCAGCTTCACGTTGCTGCCGCCGCCGCCGCCTGCAAGGGACGTCTGGACGTGACGTCACCGCCAGACGGGGATCAATACGCTACCCCGGGGTTCGATTTCGATCATCATTATCATATTATTTGATTCTATTTCTCCAGCGTATTTAGGTAAACGCGTATAATTATTGGTAATATATTATACAGGGCGCTCTCAGATTTTTTTACGCTAGTTATCGCACTTGAACATGTGACGTGTACAGTGTACGCGATTACGTGTCGTAGTTTTCAATCAAAGTGGTTTTCATCCAACTCAGGAGTTGTGCTCGTGATTATCCCGGAGCCGCTTGTTTACGAAAATAGTTACCCCACGGCCCCCACATCGCCCACCACGTCAACCGATGCATAATGTAGGTTTGCACCCGCGGAGATGGGGTAGCCCGGGCGACGCCGGTATCGGGCATTTGAAGCCTATCGAACGCCACCGCTGCCGTTTCCGTTTACGTTGTCGGTCTTCCCGGTTGACTTTTCGTCCCGCATAAACTAAACCGTCTACTCCGGCATGATAAATTAATGTTATGTAATTTTTTATTTTGCATTTCGCACAAATGTACGCGGTTGTGTCATGAACCGTGTGCTGCAGTGTACTTGTATATGTTTTATTAATATGCGACATGTACTGTTATGCGTGTCGCCCTCCAAACCACGCCCCTTATCGATTATATTCCTCAACGCGCCGCCAAGCCAATTTTTCTCTCTTTAGTCTTTAGTCGGGTTTGTGGTGATGCCGCCGCCGCAACCACGCTATATGCGACGACGGTGTATTTCACCGAAATCGATTTTCTCGCTCAGACCGCCGCCGCCGCAGTGTTTGACCTGTTTTCGATGAGATGTTGATGATACGTATAAACACGTATATTATGCTCTAGTCTATAACCTACCTATGATAATATCAGATTGTAAAACAAACGGAATTCACGACAATATCATCGTTTATTATCCTTTACATCAATTCGGTGCCTACACATTATAATATTATATAGAGGCTTATGCCACTTTTGTTATTCTTTTAGTCCGTAGTGCTAAGCACGTTGTAGCATTTACGAAATCTACAAATTATTGTAAAAAAGGACAAGTTTCTCGGCTACTCTATTACAAATAGGTACTAATTTTGTTAATGTGTTATAGCCTTATAGGTACAGTTAATAACTTTGAATTACTTACATAATAATGAATACCTAACGACAGTTAAAAAACAAAACTATTAAATCCAATATTTAAAATGCACCTATAGGTTTGCCTATTCAATTTAGTATATTATATACTATATTTACAGAATTTCACATTTTTTCTCGAATGATTTTAATAACCGTGATGTATCCAATTCACACATATATGGGTATAAATCCAGTTCCGTACCTTATTCGTAAACCATTACATTTTATTTGATATCCGTTCTTTGTGTATAAACTTGCTCGTACATTTCTTTTTCCAACATTATTATTATATTCTGCGTCGTATATACTTTATGAAAGGAGAAGGGTGCTTTGTGCTTACAACAATCGATTTAAACGTTCGCGTAGAAATAAATAATATACATACCTCAGTCCCGGGTAATACGTGCGTTTATATATTATATTTATGTATAATAAACTACAAAATGTTTTTCATATTTTTGAACTTTCACCTGAAAAATGTTTAGGAATAAAAAAAATTATATATACATAATATGTATAAATATGCTTTTTTAATGATGATTTCAATATTATTAATTATAAATTAAAATATTATGTATAAATGTATAATTCCAACGACCCTGTAATTTGTTTTTCGTTGCCGCAACTGTGAATAGGTATACATTTTACGGTTTTGAAAACGTTGCGATCAGTACGTTCGAAAAACCTGCCACCATCTTCGGTTTCACTATATTATGATAGTACTATTAAAATGATGGGCCATTATCACAATTCGATTCCGGTCCGACTAATTGCGCACGCGACGACTTGTTTCGTGGTCACAGTCACACGGCAGATGAAATATTACGACGAGCATTGAACGCGTATTTTGCTTCGAAAAAAAAATACATGTATATAATAAAATAATTGATCATAAAAAATAGGCATCGTGTCTAATTAACCATTACCGTCGCCCCCATCTCCTCATCTCACGATCACGGTGTCTAGGCAAGGCAACAACAACGAGTTTTGCGGGTATCAAGTTTCCACGTCTCACCCGGGAGAAATCTGCCAAACTCGTATTATTATGTTATTATTATCACTGAAGCCTACGCGTAGGCCGTGGTCTGCGGTCGTCAAAAGTTAAATTGTTTAATATATAGGTGTTCTCTCGCAACCGCGACTTTTGCAGCTCGTGCGTTGCTCCGCGCACGTACTTGTCGAATCGATATAATCCGAAATTGTGGTTCATCTGCCTGTGTGCGCGTGACAAATTGCTCAGCTACGGTAAAAACCATAGTCCCGAGTAGAAACAAAAAATATAATTTAATATACGGTTCAGAGAAATATTGAAAAAATATATTTCTCAGCATTTAAATAAACGTAGCAGATTTCTCGTAAAAATACCTTTCAGTTTGAATTTGAAAATCGTCGTATAATAAATCGAGTCATTGAGATGTCAGCTGACAGAGAGACATTTCGTAACGACGTTACTAAAGTAAGGCCAAAGGCATCCATATGATATCCTCCAGCAGTGTTAGTTATAGCCCATATTTATACATTACAATATAGACAGTATTAGACGCGATAAGGTAGATAAGTAGAATGACTAGTGAAAACCACTGAAGCGATAACCGCCGAAAAGCCGTTTTTACAAGGGAATTATGCATTATAACCCATCATATGAGTATTTTTTAATTGGACTACCCTTGTAAATACGAAAAATCACCAATGAACAACATCTGCGTTTGATGACTAATCGTTTTATTTGTTTCTCTTTCAGTTGATGGAATTGGTGCCCGTCTCGTGTACGGTCCGCCCGTCCCGGGCAGAAACGCCGCCGCCGTCGCTGAAGAGGACCAAACTCGAGGACGCACCGCCAGCGGTGCCCACGGCGGCCTACTACTCGGCGCTGGGCATGGCACCCACGCTACCAAACTACATGGTGGACCCATTCCACTATTTTTACGGTGCATGGGTGCCGCCACCCGCGGCCATGTACATGAATAATTCGCATCACATGTACAGGAACGAGAGGTTAGACACATCGCCGCATTTTTGCTCGTTGTTTCCAGACTTGCATTTTATTCAACGTTTCACTAATTTCAAATGGTTTTTATGTGTCGTACCGTAGTCTGGTGAAGAGAGAGAGACCGCCGAGGCTAGTGGACCCGCAAAAAGTCATATCACACACGCAGTCCGAACAGTTCAGCAGGAGTTTTCAACCGAACGTCGCTCTGGCGCCACCCACCAAACACAACGGCAACGCCAACTCCACCAATCTCTTGGGCCATCACCACAATCATCACCACCAAAACACCAACAGTGTCAACATCAACAACAACAACAATAACACCAGCAGCAATAACAACAACAGCGCTGCCAAACCGACGGTTAGTAAATGTCGTCATGCCCCTCGCGTACGCAGCACATTGTACACGCGTGTCCTCTTAGAGTGTTTTTGATTCTTTTGCCATCACAATTTTACTTATAAATAAAATATTATAATATTCGGATGATCTATTTCAGGTGAAATTCAAGTACAAAGACGACGGTGAACAGGAAAACAAAGAGATCGTCCCAACTCAAGAGTCCGAGAGGAGATATAACAGTGTCGGTGAGTGAACCTATCAAGTACATTTGTTGTTTGTATAGTCTGTTCAGATTTTCATGTATTTAGAATTGTATTATTAGTTTATTATAATCGTTAATCGTAATTTTCACAGCCGCCAGTGTCATGGAGCAAGTGGCCGCTGTCTTAGACGCCTTGAGTGATGCCAAGGAGACGACGCGTCAGCAAGTGATTGGATTGGTTGAGCGGATCGCCCTGCGCCTTGAAAAAGTTGAATCAAAAAATCAACAACTCGTCCGGGAGAACGAAATACTTAAAAACCAATTGAACATGGTACGTGCATACTATAACTCAGAACTTATAAACATTAATTGGTCAACTTAAACATGTTATGCTATTACATTATAGTGCCTATATGGTGAATACGTTTGAAAAATTGTTTATGAATGATTATTTTTTTGTTTCCTTATAGAAGAGGCATACGAACAAAGAAGATTCGTTAGTAGACGACTGTATGATGATCAAATGGGAAGAAGGAGGTGGTATTGACCAAGAACATAGCAAAGCCAACAGTTTGCCATTGATGAACAAGAGGTGTAGTCCTGTGTCCGTGATAACCTCACCACCATGTCAGCCCAAAACACCTCCACCTCATAATTTACAGTCCACTAACATGGCCGCCACCACTGCTACCATCACAGCCACCTCAGTGTTGATCAAATCGGAATCCATCGACTGATTATTATAATTGCAGCCGGCTGTTTACTTATTATTAATTATTATTATTTAATTTAATATTGCTACCACCGACAATTGATCTCTCCTTTAAAAAAAATAAAAATAAAATAATAATATGTATAAATTATACAAGCTTTTTATAATATTTATTCAGTACTCTACAAGTATAATATATGTGTATAAATATAAAATATACATAAAGTAATAATGATAATTATTTTTATTGTTATTATTTTATGTCTAACAATATTATGTTGTTGATTTCTCTTGTCTTGTGTAAATAATCTAATTTAAAATATTGTTAATTTGATTTTCTTAATTTTCTGACAATTTCTTTATAATATGTATTATATATATATTTCTTTTTCTTTTTTGTTATGAATTTTTAGTTTAGGATTATTTTTATTTATTTATTTGAATTTTTTTGTTATTCGTTTTAAATTATTTATGTTAAAAGTTGCTGTGCCAATTTTTTGTTTGTTTTTTTTTCTATAATTATTAGAGGAGAAAATAGGAATGCGTACTTTAAAAAAAAAAAATAGAGCATGGTTATAAAGGAGCTCAATTTAAATTCTTGATTTTCCAATATTTGTAGGGTGTTATTAGTTAACCTGTGAAATTTTTAAACTTATTCTCTGTTGAATATGAATAGGAACTTTGGCAACCAGATAACACGGTATTCTGTCTCAATAACCGTTTGGGACCTTTCTTGATAAATTCTGAGGTTTTTTTTCATTCTAAACAAAGTATAGTTAATGGAATATTTTGACAATGTGTGCTTTTTCAATACATTTAACTAAATACTCAATGGACAAAATTGTGTTTAAAATATTTACACCATTTCAATGTTGACACATGTGAAAGTAAACATTATTAATTTGGGAAAAATCAATATTCCTTATTTTTTAAACAGTGTCTAATTATTATTTATTTGCATACATATTACATATAATATTGCACCAAATATTAAAAATAATAATGAAAAAAAAAGCAATCACGTATAAGATAATATTTATACATTTCCTAGTACTTTAATATACACAAAAAAACTTTACATAAACCTTAATGATTATAAGATGACAATGTAGAATAAGTATTATGTTTTCAAATATATTATAAATTAAAAAAAAAAAAAAAAATATATAATTATGAATATAGTTTTTGCGAACAATATATCCTTATTCCCTCGGGCTAGAAAATAATTCAGTACAAATTAGTAAGTGCCTTAATTCTGCAATACTATACACTAACCTTACTTAAAAAAAAAATTATAATGTTAAACATACATAGTATTATATAGTATATGTATGTTTGCATGCACTATAATAATTATATGGTTTTAATATGCTTATAAAAAAAAGAGAAAAAGAATGTTATTTTAGAAATCATGGTAGATTGATTTATATTAAGTGAATTTTTGTTGTTAATGTTGGTGTGCATTGTTGTGTCATCTGACAAATTTTTTTCATTACGTCTAATGTATTTCAAGTATGCAAATTAATAATAAGAATATTAGTAATAGCAATTTGTATCAAATATAACATACAGGTTAAAAAATTTGTAAAACTTTTAAATTTAACTATACCTATTATTGTTTAGTTAAAAATAATATAGTTTGTTACCACACAGTTTTAATATGTACCTGATGTGAAAGCCAGTAGGTAATTTATACATAAAGTATATACTATTATAATATATATTATATAAATATACTTAAAGATGTTTCATACCATTTTGGAAACAATGGAATAATAATAAGCTCCCTATTTATTTTTATTTATTTAAGTAAACATTGAGTCTTCCTTAAAAAAAGAAAAGATAAAAAAATAAGCAAATAACTCGAATTCTGTAATTAATTTTAAACATTTTCATGCTGTATTAGTTTGTTTCTTTCTATCTCGTGCAATTTAATTAAATATAAATGTTGAAACACAATGTTAATAATATATAATATATACATATATATATATATTTATTAGTTGTAATAATTTGATGAACATATAAATTTAATATCTATTGAAGGAGTAAAATAATATAATATTATATTATAATAGTATAACAAATTTTTATTCAACTTGACTGGAAATCAAAAACAACCATTGTGTTCACATACATTTTTCTCATTATTATTTAATGTTAATTGACAAAACTGTGTAATAATATTGATTTTTCAATTTTAATGTTCTTATGTATATTTTGTTGTTGATGTACAGATATTTTTTTTTGTAATTTTTAGAGTTTTTTCAAACTCTGATATGGAATGAAATATTTAGATATTTAGATATTTCATTTTACTATCATAATTATTATTATTATTATTATTATTATTATGATTATTATTATTTTTTGTAATGATGTTAAGTTTTTTTAAGTAACTTATATTAGGTAGTTTTTTAACTGTGCCAAGCTTTGTAGCACTTTTTAAGCAAAACCGAGTCATTATGTTTTTTTTTTTGTATATATTATACTGCCTGTACCAAATACATTGTATCATAATATACATGATTATATGGTGTATTGAAACGGGTTTTCTTTACATGTATTTTTTTGTGTAATGTTATGAATTTAAAACAAAAAACAACCATTTTGTTTATGTACATTTTTTTGGAAAAAAAAGAAACCAGAAAAAAAAGAATCAAAATAAAAGAATATACTATATTAATAAATAAAAATTAGGATTGTGTTTTGTTTTTGTATGAGAATTTTTTTTATTACATACTATGCAATTTATATGTTACTATGCATAATGTGCATTTGTCTAATCTCAAGAGTAGGTAGGTATATAATAAAGGTATTGTCAATAATTTTTATGACTCGAAAATTATCATATGGTGGTACACGTATTCATTATAAATAATAATCATTATATTATGATTATAGTGAATTATAATGACTCATAATTTGATGAACATGGTGTACCTTACACTTCGAGCAATAGAAAAAGAATCAGTGACCTATTAAAAAATAAAATTACAGTGAACTGAATTATTGATACAGTATGGTGTATGGACACTTAATATTTTTAAACTCTGTTCTGACACTCCAAATAAAAAAAAATGTTTGATATTCTTGTTAAATAGCAAAAAAAGTATCTTTTTTATTGTTGCAAAACACAGTAGAAACCATTAATAATATCCTTAAAGTGACTTAAATATATAGGATTTAACAATTGATTTACCAATTGATTTCTAAGTATTAGATAGGTATATAAAACTAAGGAAAAATGCAATATGTTACATGTCCTAGGACCTAGAGAGTAAAGCAGTACCTATATGCTGAATGACTTGTAGTATATACATTAAAATGTTTTTAACCTCTTCGTGACTATTACAATTTATTTTACATTAAAATAACTGTAGGTAGGTATATAAATTAATTACCTATGTGATTTGTGTTGTTAAATAATATCTTTGACAATATTTAAACAAAATTAGATACAATGGAGGTACTGCAATGTTGTAAAATTTACCTATTTACTATTTAATCATATAATGTACCTACCTGTTTAGTATATTGTCATATTAAAGTAAAATCTACAGAAAGCAATTAATTGGTAAAAATTATGTTTGAAAAGACAAATGATAATGCATTAGGTATATGCCGATTTCCCATTGAAAATGAAAAAATTATGAAATTGATAGTTTTAAGGGGAAAAATAAATAAAACTCATTTTCCAATATTTTCAGTTTTGGATCTACTTACTCTTTCTTTTGGAGGCCAGTGTTGGCCTCTTTTGCAGGATATTACTGGTATCTGTACGTTTTTAAAACAATAAATCATTTAATTTGAAAAATAGTTTTGTGATCAATTATATTCGAGTTTATATATTGATGTAAATTGATTTATTGATTTTACTGAATATTAATTTCAATTAGGTGTCATTCTATCAAATTAAAGCTTCATATTTGAGATCGACAACATATTTTGTAAAGCGTAAACGCTAATCAGACACTAGACAGACATAATATAAAAAACTATAAGCAATTAATTACCAATAAAGATAGTCTTCTACTTGATTTGGGTGAACACTAATACACATTTTTAAACGGAAAACCGTGACAACAAAGTAAAGTACCTATGATGTATATACCTTACAGAAAAGGCGTCAACTTACATATTTCTAATACCTAGGCGGTGCTCCAGAAGGGGCCTAGGGATCGTATGGTTTAAAAACTTATTATAGGTACTAGGTATTAGGTAGTATAATAATATAATTTATTATAATGTCGGAAGTTTGCTGAAAATTATGACTTATCCCCCCCAACCATGTCTTCTGGAGCCGTAACTGCCAATACCTACATTTGAGTGGGTGATCTAGAGGGTGAAGTGTTAGTTAATAATATAATATGCGAGAGGTCAAAGAAAAACGATTTTCCTAAAAGAAAAGAAGTATCGATGTCGATGAGACATAATATATACCCGTGGGAGAGTGAGGGTGTTTGTATTTATGCGCGTATATATTGCAAACAAATATAATATAAATATAAATTATGGTAAATTCTCGATGATGTTTTGTTGTGGGTGAGAAGGGAGGTGGTGGGTGGACCGCGGTAGTGTGTGTGTGTGTTTATCTTGTCGATCGGTCGCGGCGCTGGTCAAGGTGACCTTGCATCAATGTCATCTTTTGGCTCTAAGTGCTCGTTCACACACACACACGCAAATCCACAAACACGAGCACTATACGACTGGTCGTTGTATGGTGTGTGTGTGTCTGCAAGCTTGTCACGATATTATTATAATATAATATAATCATGAGACTGATGGACGGACGCTAACTATGGGGGGGGGGGGGGTCCCGCCGGCCGCTTAACGTCACCCAGTTCCGTGCGAGCTGAGCGCCGATCACCAGAGTTTGGCGGCGGAAACGTCGTCGTTCACGCGCCGCGTTGTATTCAAATGGGGTGGCATAACATTTAAATAATAATCAATAATCATAATAATAATGATAATACCTATTACAATAACGTAATACCTACCGTGATGTTGTATTACACATATATAATACATAATAT